TGGGGAATTCTGGGAGTTGAAGTCCACGCATCTTAAAGTTTCCAAGGTTTAGAGACAGAGATTTCCCCCCGCGAATGATCTCTGTTCTCGTATTTATCCCGACTATCAACAGGCCTTCTCAAGTTCTTCCTTCAAACAACTTTACAATGCGTGGACTGCAACTCTCAGAAGCTAGGAATCAATCATCAGTTTCTGATGACACCCTGGACTGTAACAAAGGCACATGAACCTACAAGGATTACAGATCCACCTGCACCCCCAGGTATCTGTATCTGCTTTTCCCTAAGTCAGAACCAACACTCCTCTCTGCTGGCCCTGGTGCCTGCAACTGCTCTGCGTTTAGGAGTACAGGTTTGTCAGAGTTTTTTACATACATACAAACAACACAATTTAGTTTTTTTTTTTAAAGAGCTTTTCATTCTCCCTTGTATCAGCAACGTACCTAGAAAGCTCAATGTTGCTCCAAATTAAGACCCTGCAGGCAGAATTTGCTTAGCTTTTCCATTTGCTCAATGCCATCTCCGCTTTCCTTTTTAAATACTGTATGCAAAAAGGAATGGAATTAATTGCTGGGATACAGCTCTCACAGCCAAACTGCTGTTCTGTGCCTAGTTTGGTGTCATGCCAGTAACTCTGGCTTGTGAATCCCGCCTGCCCTGTAGGTATTTCCTGGACTCTGTTGGGGAAAAAAAATCTAATCCACAAGGCACCGCACACCTATTCCTACATGGTTGAATCTCTGCTGGGAAGAAATCTGAGAGCAACCTGCAAAGGACTCCCCCTGAGCCTACTGCAGCTGCTGGTCCCCAGCACAAACCCTAAGTGGGTGGCCCCTACTTTTTTCCAAGTTTTTCCTTTTTGCGTCCTTGGTTAGATTTCAGGCGTAAAGTGAATACTTTACCCTGTTCTTAGCTTAAATCCTGCAGAACCTAAAGACACCAATTTCTCTAAAATCTCCTAATGCCTCACGACCTCAAGCTAATTTTCCTGGGTTTAGAGACTGGGGGTGGGGTGGGGGACAAAAGTTAATCTTAAGGCAGTGGTCTTCAAATTGGGGTGCATAAGACAATCCACTGAGGTACAGAAGAAAATATTAGAATGTCTATTTATAGTTATGTTATCTGTTTATTATAGTTTAGAATGTACAAAATGGTATATTTTATGACATATTACTACAGCAGTATATGGATGTAATTTATAAATAAATAAGCATGCTGTATATACCTGAGAATTTCCAGTGCCCAAATGCACCACAAAAACTGGGTTTGGCTTATCCATGAGTATATGCAGTAATATCTGTATAGCCCAGAAAAATGCAGTTTGGCTTACCCGTAGATGGTGCATTTTTCATGGCGTATTGGTTAAAAATTCGAGGGTCAGCTTATCTGTGGATAGGGTTACACACAAGTATATACGGGATATATTTTACAGATGCACCCTCAAAAATCTTTTTACCAAGAAGGGTGGGCAACCAAAAACATGGTTTGCCCAGTTAACCCAGGTTTTAGGGTTGACCCAATACAGCAGAATCATCTACTGAGTAATGTGCTAAGCTAAAATCTGATGAACTCATTTGTGGTTCAGATGAGTCATGTAAGCCCAGGCAGATGGAGGCAAGAGATTTGTGGTGATGGTAGTAAATGGTTAAAGATTGGGTTTTTTTCCTTTAATTTGGTGTGGTGATACTAAAACTGAGAAGGTATTTTTTTTTCCTGTGGGCAAAAAGCCTTGATTAGTCTGTGCGTTCCTGTATGTTGACGTGTTTTGGGAATCCCAGCAAGTGATACCATCTGTTCAACCTTCCCTCCTTTCAAAAATCTGAGCAGGGTTGAAACTGATTAGTATTTGGACAGGAGACCATCAGGAAATCATCTGAATTGTTGCTGAAAAAATTACATGGCTACGTTTTTGAAGTTATTAAGGCAGGATGAGCACTAGGAACTCCTAGCATCTTTTCAAATTATCCAGCCACCATTGGGCTGAAAGAACAGACATGAAGACTGGGTTTACATCGCCTCAGTGATGGCTGGGTGACCCTAGAAGATGCTGTTGGGACCTTGGTAATGATCCTGTTCAAGAGTCATGACTGTTTTGCTGCTTGGCCTTGGGCAGTAAAATGGCTTGCTGGAAACAGATGCTGGTTTACTGAATTTCTTTGCAGGAGCTTTCCTACTGCATCAACTTTTCTCTCTCTCTTAGAGGGGGAAGAGCCCTCCAGAAGCTAAAAAAGTAACATCTCCTTTAAATGAAACTCTTCCAAAGGGACTCCTGTTAGTAATATGGAAGTGATTGGCCACTACCTTTATTTCAGAATGACGTTTGACTTCTTATTCTAACCCAGGGTTTCTCAACCCCAGCAACTTTAAGATGTGTGGACTTCAA